GTTTTGTACATTTTGACTTGGAAATGTGCTTCGCGCCACAACGGCGTGCACTTTTTTCGACATCTGAACTTCCAAAAGTGGTCCGACAATGGTGTGTTTTGTACATTTTGACTTGGAAATGTGCTTCGCGCCACAACGGCGTGCACTTGTTCGACATCTGAACTTCCAAAAGTGGTCCGACAATGGTGTGTTTTGTACATTTTGACTTGGAAATGTGCTTCGCGCCACAACGGCGTGCACTTTTTCGACATCGCAACTTCCAAAAGTGGTCCGAACCTGGTGTGTTTTGTACATTTTGACTTGGAAATGTGCTTCGCGCCACAACGGCGTGCAATTTTTCATCTCTCCTCTGGCCAGCTGGCTCCGCACCCGCTGCTTTAGCGAGCCTACTTTTCGACCCTCCGGAGCCACAAATCATTGGAAAAACACAGTGTTTCGCGACTTTCCTACCTTTTCGCGCATCTGTATCTTCTGTCTTCTTACTGTTTCTCTTCTAATCTTCTTTCTTCTAATCTTTCTCTTCTCTATGCCTCTTCCCTGCTCTGCTTTTCATCTCTCCATATTGTCGGAAGTTTGACTTCTAAACTTCCTTCGATTATTTATATATATATATATATAATATATATTTACATATATATATATATTATATATACATATATTATATATATATATATATTATTTATATTTATTTATATATATATATATATTATGCAGATTATTGAATTTATACACACGCACTCACACACACATATGCGTACATGTGAACAGGTATGCTTCAACCAGCTTTTTCTTTCATGAGTTTGACCAGTGATTTGCGGAGAACCATCAGGACGAGTTGCTCATCCGTGCGGCCATCGTCACGAGTCCAAAAGAAGTTGGGACAAACCATCCGGGCTTTGTAAAAACCACTCTGGACAGACTTTGGATAGATTTCGGTCATTGTTACATATGTACATTTGGCATTATTTCACCATCTAGTGTTTGGAAACGAACACTCTTGACAAATACCCAGCCATTTTTACTTCCAAAAGGATGTATGTGTCCAGTACTGTGCTGCCTCGTCCATGTGATCTGCAAGACTGCGGGCTGGCTAGAAAGTAGATCAGAAGTTGACAGACCAGCGATTGCATTCTTGTTGAACTTCTTTTGTTGGCATGTCCAAAACTGCGAATAGCAGCAGGACACACCAGACCAATTTCCTCTCTCCAACTTGCACATGCAATACAATTGTGGATTGTTGTTCCCGCTCAGAAACCCTTGTTTATTTCTGGGTGTATTTCTTGGGATGGTGGAACCAGGAACGCTCAGACTGGTTGAATAGGGTAAACCTTGGTAAATCATCCCAAAAGATGAATATCTACACGCATCAATATGCATTTGGATAATTACCCGTAGATCCACAGATGCTAGCAATATCATTTATATATATATATACATGTATAGAGAAAGAGAGAGAGAGAGAGAGAGAGAAAGACATCACTGCACATAAATTTGTATATCAAGAACCGCACATACATACATACGTACGTACGTACATACATACATCCATACATCCATACATCCGTACATCCATACACCCATACATCCATACATCCGTACATCCATACATCCATGAATGCATGCATGCATGCATGCATGCGTACATCCATCCATCCATCATACATACATACATACATACATACATACATACATACATACATACATACATAAATACATGCATGCATACATACATACATACATACGTACGTACGTACGTACATACATACATAAATACATACATACATGCATACATACATACATACGTACGTACGTACGTACGTACGTACGTACGTACGTACATACATACATACATACACACACATACAGAAATTCTTATGACATATACATATATATATATATATATTTACATTATGTAGTTCATTATTTGCACATATGAATCTTTTTGGTGCACATGCTTATGTGTATAAATGTATTCCGGGGTATGACTCAGCTAGCTTTCCCCCTCAGCCTTCCCCTGCCCCCGAGGCGAGAATGCCCCCCGAGTCAAATCGTTCCAGTGCGTCCTTTGGCTGCACCTTGCGGGTTGCACACTATCAAAAGCTACAATGACATTGGCCGGAAATATCTTTGGAACATGATTGCATGGCAATGTTCCTGCCATATTGGATGTCAGTGGCATGTATTTAAATATAAATATGTGCGTTTTCTTTGCATCTCTTATAGATACAATGATTGTGCCGCCCCTAAGCCTCAAAATGTTAATGCTGAATGGGTTGAGAGTCGAAAGAGCCCACCAGAATCTTCTCGGCTCATGTCACCCCGGGTTGCAATTGATTAAGCCTCTTGCAACTTACTAGTAAGTGCCTACGCCCACATTAGTGGAGGTGATACTAGCACATCTGAAGGATGGTGTAAGCAGGTAGTCAAACACCTCACCTCGCCCAGTGTTTTGCCCCGTCGAATCTTCAGGGCTCCCACCATGCAAACAACAGGTGGAGGCGGAAGATTGTCACGTTGCGAGGTCAATGGAATGATGGGAACTATAGGGGTGAGCTATCCTAAAATGACCGGTTTTGGGGTTTGTGAATCATGATAATGTATCCACTCTGATAATCATCGATATATAGGGCATTCTTGCCATGAAACAACATTTGTTCAATCAGTTCAATCCTTCTCACATCAATTTTGTATACCCACTTGCTTACAACTTGTTTATTCTGCATGGATCATCCCACCAACAATCCCAAAGCCATGGGTCCGAAGCTCCAGGACAATATTGATCCTTACCTTCAGTTGGGTTTATCTGACAGGGTGTACCCCCCATGCCTAGCCATGCCCTCGCGATTTTGGGATGAGAATCCATTGGATTTTGGGATACGATGGGGTACCCAGATGGATCAGACAAACCCAGATGGATCATTTCGAGGTATGCCTTCTTCGGCATCTGCTTCTGTACAAGCTATGGAGCTGTGGTTGGCGGAGGTGTCTCCGAAGGTCCGGAGATGTCCGGAGCGGAGCGAGCGGAGCTGGTTTTTGCAGCGCAGCTTGGGGTGGCTTTAGCCACTGAGAAAAACGGGTAGATCGTGGACAATCAATATCTAGACATCACGTGGTTTTTGGGTGTTTTGGTAATTTGCGTTTATCAAACAGAGGGTAGTGTTGTCCAACCAGCTGCCACTGAGATTTTTGGGCCCACGTCTCTGAAAGATGCTTCGTGTTACAACATCGAGTCTCCGGGACGCTTGTTTTACTCACGTTCGACGTGCTAGTACAATAATGATATCTTTCTGTTGCTTTCGAATTGTAAAAGGACTAGAAGCTCAACTAACACAATGTGGGGGTAACCTTGAAAGCACTAGCCAATCTCGTTGTGAGCCATAGTGGTCCACTCCACTAACCAATCTCGTTGTGAGCCATAGTGGTCCAGTACGTCTTCATAGTTTGATGGCACGTGAACACGATGCCAAGGTTCTGTTGACATGTCCTGATGGGCCAGGGCTTGTAGACACATAGTGAGAGCACTGTAGTAGGTTGTGGCCATTCTTGGCGCGCTCTGCGGTAAGGCTCATGCAGCAATGGTCGGGGGATCAGGCTCACACAAGAAAATGGCACCCCAGCGAATCCAACCAGATGCAAATCATTTGCAACTGGATCACAATCAAGCAACAAACAAGATTCTCAACCAAAAAGAGACATGTGCCATGATGCATGCTATGATCAGTCATGGATCATTCAACTTCCAAGTCACATCCCCAGCATGTCATCCGCTGATTAGATCACTGATATTTAGAAATTAGCAGCTGCTCAGTAAGGGCTTGTGGCCCTCACTATGGGCTGCTGGGCTTCGCGGTCTCCATCACAAGCAGCAAGTCTGAAAGGCGGATGTCACCCAGGGGGGACGATGTAGACCGAGGGAGAAGACTAAGATATATCTTGCCATTTTGGTTTATCACCACATGTTGAACAACAAGGCGATAAAAAAGCACATGGTTTCACTAGGAGGGTATATATATATTTTTACACACTGTATCTATCTATCTGTCTATCTATCTATCTATCTCTCTCTCTCTCTCTATCTCTCTATCTCTCTATCTCTCTATCTCTCTATCTCTATCTCTATCTCTATCTCTATCTCTATCTCTATCTATCTATCTATCTACCTGTCCGTCCGTCCGTCCATCTGTCTGTCTTTTTTGTGTAAATGGATGTACCCTCCAAAAAATCAACTAACACACAATAAAACTAATACGAATTGACATAAACGAATATATATTTATATATATGTGTGTGTGTGTGTGCGTGTGTGTGTGTATTTATCACACACATATATTATCATGGAATAACATAGCTAATCCATATAGATCAAAATAAATGATCCAACTCATATGGCACATCGACAGGCCATGGATGTACAGAGTGAAGCCCGCTCCTTGCTCTCAGCCTGGCTTCGCCATGAGGCGCTGTGGTAAACGGTCCACCATAGAACAAGATGTGGAAAATCATGGGAAATCCATGAACATCCATGCTTTCCTGTTTGGAACATGATCTACAAAGTTGCTGAGTTTTCTACATCTATGCTAGTCTACAAAGGGCAACTCATCTCAAACGACAGAATATGCCTTAATTTTGGGGATGGTTCGAAGTTCCACATCTCCCAAAATCCACATGTTGTTTCTGCTTGGCTGATTGATGTTGATTCGCTGATTTAACATATTTCGTTGCTGGCATCTGGTCCGAGATCACCAAACTCATGTGGTCAGAAGCCGCCAAGTTCCGGCGAAATCCCCATTATCATCCCATGATATCCCATTTTAGTCCATTATAGTTAATATTTACCAGTAGTACCCGCACGATGCGGGGCGGAAGTTGCCTTAGGGTTATACTATAAGACCTTTGCCATCTATAGAACTTGCATGCGCCGTGCGCCAGCCAGGCCCGTGCGTGCGTGCTTTGTGCGAAGCTGTTGCGTTGTTGTTGTTGTTGTTGTTGTTGCTGTTGTTGTTGTCGTCCAAGAACAACACCTGCGCACGACCCCGGCGCAATGCAACGCCAAGCAAACACTTTCTTCGCACTGCACACTGCAATCTTCACACCCCGCACTTCACACCTCACACTTGCACTTCACATTCCACAGTTCATCTCATCTCATTTCATCTCTTCCCATATGTCAGCTAAGTTCTACTTACCTATTGCTATTTCATCGGAGCACAGCTCAACCTTTCTCATCTCACCGAAGCTAGTCTCAACTCATCTCGTCTTTTCTGCACATCAGAAAGCTTGAGACACAGATGCATTTACACAGAAAGGTCTTTACAAAATACTTTGTAGTACAAAGCTCGCATAAAGTATTTGCCAGTGCTACTTTGCACTACAAAGCCTGCACAAGCACGTCCCAGTACTTCTTTGTATTACAAAGCTTGCTCAAAGCACTCCCAGTATATACTACTTTGCACTACAAAGCTTGCACAAAGTACTTCCCAGTACTACTTTGTACTACAGAGCTTGCACAAAGTACTTCCCAGTACTACTTTGTACTGCAAAGCTTGTGCGTAGCACGTCCGAGTACTACTGTGTACTGCAAAGCTTGCACAAAGCACGTCCCAGTACTACCGTATACTACAAAGCTTCACAATACTACAGTACCTTGTGCTACAAAGCTTGCACAAAGCACTTCCCAGTACTGGTTTGTACAGACATTACAATGCGTTTTCCAGCATCACGTGGGTCACCCGCGTCTCTCTACGCACATAGCAACATAACATGGCAAAAATCATGCAGCCAGCACACTGCGATCTGCAAGCACAGACTCAAGAAACGCATAGAGGCATAGAACTACGCACACATGCACAACCACGACCCCAGCCGCACCCGCCGCACACAGGAGGTACCTTTCATCGCCGGCTGCAGCCACTTTACACGGAAAATACACAAGGTTTCGTGCTCCGGCTTCATCCCCAACACAACCCGTATGCAACATGCATGCAGGCATTACAATGTGTTTTGCAGCACCACCCCAAATTAATGTATTGTTCTGTGATGTAAAGTTTCACACCACCCTTCATTGAGTAAAAGTCATCCATAACTCGGAAGATTGCTTCCCAAATTCCTTTGATTAAAATCTCTTAATACATATATACATATATATATATATATATATAGAGATACGCATCATATATACATATATATATACATATATATATAAGTATATATCGTTATTTCATTATTGTTTCATTATTATAGCATTATTATTTCATCGTAAAAAATGTCATTTCATGTTTGCATCAATATTAAAAATGTATCATTGTTTGTATCATTATATCATTGTTTTTCATTATTATATCATTATATCATTATTATATCATTATTACTTCATTATTATTTCATTATTACCATTATACTTAATTTTCATAATTCATGATATATCATGATTATCCCGGTATCCCGGTAGTTCAGATCGCAGGAAGAAGCCGCGGATCTACGGATCGTGGCAACGTCTGCACTGCGCTCTGAAGGCTATAGCGAGGCCGTGGGACGCTGATTTTCTTAACGAAAAAATGGAGGGGGAAAACAACGGCGACAGGATGACAGGGCAAAAAAATAGGCTGAAAAATCATGTTGTTTATTGGTTTGAAGACGTTCGGACATGTTACATGTTTTCCAAAGAAAATCGAACACCAAGATGGAGGGGAAAGCAAGGAACATGGAACAAAAAACAACTTATAAAAATATACTACCACTGTAGTATGAGCAGCGAGGCAGCCAAAAGAAGTGTTTAATCCTCCACATGTGGATTGTTCCAGACAAGAAGTTACCAACATGTGTGGGCCGTGGGATCTTGAACGCTCCCCGTGACTCTGGAGTGATACCAAAAGTATTCAAATGGGAGCCTCTGAGGAGCAGGGCAAGCTTTCAGCACCTTGCACCCAACACGATACTTTTACAGATATTCTTGTGTTTGGGGGTCTCTATGGGTCAAAACTGGTTTTCATTGTTTTGGGGTGTGGAATAGGACGAACCAGAAGAACTTATCATGCTGCATCCCAACAAGTAGATTCCCCTTCATTCTGAACAAGACCAGTCACCTCCAAGACAGCCAATTTGGCTGATGGTCACCCGTGCGTTTGGGTGATCTTTAGCTGAAGGCTCATCAAACCCATGCAGATGTGGCTACTTTGAAATCATGAATAGCTGTTCTGTTGTACCACCAGGCAAGACAAGATATCCTGAAGTAGCTGGAGGTGTACAGTCCATCCAGCTGTCATTCCGAGTCTTACGCCTACAGCACATGATAGTACGTGCGCAGTTTGACTTCTGGACTGCACAGATGCTTCAGTATGGCTCACACTTGTAGACCATCCAAAGGTATCTCATGCTTGCATGCCTGCCCGGTCAAACAATGCGGTCATGATGGGCCCGTATCAACAACACAGTGGACCAGAATGGATTCATGTCTTGAATTTGAAACGTAATTTCTTAAGTCTTAATCATCCAATTCTATCCCAGTCTCAAATCCGTGCCTTAAATGTGGGTCCATTCTCCTTTATTTAACCCAGGAGGATGCTTGCCCCAAGCGATGTTGCCTGTCCATTCTGGACCCTGGAAGGCGCCGAAGATGAATCTGGCAAAGGAGGATGCCAAGTGGAATGCCTACAAGACGGTGGAAAATCGCTTGAGAGTACCTCACCGCAAAAAAAATGGATTGGAGTTGGCTGTTGGTGAAAGTTGATTGGATTGCCTCAATTCTGGCTATGCCACTGCAGTTTAGGTGATCAGTAGAAGATTAGAAGCATGTACTTGCTTCTCCTTAGAAGTGTTGCATATTTATTCGCGTGTATGGTTTGAAAGATGCAATTCACAAATCCCACGAATTTCCGCCGAGAGCCTTCCAAATTTGCTCGCTTTATGGTTTGGTAAATTTCAATGCTTCTCGGTAAACATTGTTTTTGATGTTTTTTAGGCCAGTTACAAGGTAAGGTTTTGGATGGTTTTGGTGTGTTTTTCGTTGTTTTAACCATTCAAAATTAGTCCAACGATTGTGGATCAAAACCAGATCTTGGTTGCTTTAATCCCAAATTTTGCTAAAATCACCATTGCCACAATCGCAATGCTGGGACGCCCAGTGCCATCAGTACCTTGGTTTGGTTCATCAAACCTTTTTGTCAGAATCACATCTGTGCTGGTTAAACCTCTAAATGTCTGCTCCTAGCATATCACCATTTTGCTTAAGTCACTACTTTTTGTGGTTCAGCCATTTCAAACCTCCAGAGATCATAGATCCAGAGTTATACCATAGTAATTTAATAACTAGAAAATCACATTTTAAAAACATAGATAAGACATGGCCCAATTATCTATAGATCTCATTAAAAGGCCATTATTCTATAGGTGACATCTATGGTGACAGGCCATTTGCATCCGTTGACCATGGCTCTGTCAGGCTGTCCGCCTGGACGTCGGCTCCAGCGGCTCAAGCGCCCTGGCAGAGGACGTGGACGTGGCGCTGCGGCTGCTGGCGCAACGGCGACGGGAGCAATGCGAAGCCAAGGCGGCGGGGCGGCATCGATTTTGGAGATATGATATAAATGAATATATATATATATAATAAACATAATAAGAATAATAATTAATAACAATATATCTATATAAATATATAAATATATATTATACATAATAATATATTTTATATATAAATTTAATATAGCCATAGCAGGTAAGGATTTAACTAGCAAACACGTGGTGATTCTATGGGATTTAACGGGAAAACATTGTGATTTCAACAGATTTTAACCAGCTAAGCATGTGGGATTTTATGGGATTTCAGCAGCAAAACAGTTTAATTAATGGGATTTGACTCAGACATTGGGTTTGACGATCAAATTCGGGATTTCATGGGATTTAAACAAGAACAATATGGATTTGATTCACAAAAAATTGCAATAGACCCTCCAAGCACCTAGAAAAATCATGGAAAACACACACACACACATTTTGTTGACCTTGACCTATGTTCTTGCGTGGAGGTTTAAGGTAAGTATTGGTTCTTAACAGATAACGATCCAGTTATGGTGATAGCATTTTGGTTATATTGGGAACGTTGAGAACATGTGGTACTTTAAGCGGCAACATTGGAAAATTATGGAAAACTGGAATATAATGAGATATAAAGAACCCACTTAGTATGGGTGATGATTAAAGGGTAATTTAACTTTTCAGACAACCCAAAATTACTGGGATTTGCCGTTCACGGGCTTTGACCTGCAAAATGGTGAGTTCACAATCCCAAATAGGGGTCCATAATGGGCCCCAAGACTTGATTGGATCTATACATCAATTAAATTATCTGTATATATAATGATAAATAATTACACATTATTATTTGGATATCCAGATGTGTTTGCTCATGTCTGCATACATCATTGACAATGTGGCATGTGTGCGCGCTCCCATTGTAAATGGGCGCACCCTGCAGGCCATGGCGCGGGCACCCCGCGCTCCAACCCGCAGCGTGCCAGCGGGGTCAGATCCAGCCCTTCGGATGGAGGCACAAACAGGGGGCCAGGGGACCATCCCCATCAAAGATACGGATTTAATGATGGTGAAAGACAGATTTAACAGTATTAACTGATGGTTACATCTGTTAAATATCTGTTAATCTGTCTGGGATTTAACTGAAAGATAGATTTAATGATTTAACAGATATTTACCCATCCAAAAAGGTACATTGGACAGGATTGAAAGCAACAAATTGTGGGATTTTCCCGGCGCACAATAGGGAGGGATTCAACCAACAGGAGAGGATAATAGAGGCTTGAACATGATAGGACTACGAGCATCACATAGCATCACTTTGCTTGACATGTTGTTATCGCAATGCTGCATCAACCTCCCACAAAGCAGACCGGAGGCAATCCAAGGTATCCAAGCCCCTTTTCAGGGCCTGTTCCTTGCACCACTGCACCACTTGTGGATTTACATGTGATGTTCAAGACCATAAGGATTCCTTCCTCGACTGACTGGGCTGAATCTGAGAAAACAATGCATTTGAAAGAAAAAACGCTGAACAAAAAAACATTGAAAACAATGGTTTCCCTCATAGCATCAGTTCCAACATGTTTTTTTTCTGACATCAATCCATTGGAAAGCAAATTTGTTGATTAAATCTTTAAATGTCTGTCTTCATTACACCAGCTTGTTTTTATTGTTTGTGACTTCATGATGTTTGAAAACTCTTGTGGCTTAAATCTTCGTTTTTCCTCGGTGAAATCCACCGGTTCCGCGGGGAAAATCTGCGGCCAGGTGCGGCACCAGGCGCGGGAGGCCGCGCGCCAGCGCGCGTCCAAAGCGGGACGCGCCGCCTCGGGAGGTGCAAAAGCTGGAGGTGAAGATATTTCTTGGGTGGTTCACCCGAGTTTTTTTGTGATATAGTTGAACTATTACTAATAATAATAATATATATATATCGTAGAATTATATATATATTTCTTATAGATATGATAGATATGTAGCTTTTGGTTGACTTGATGCAGCGGTATGTGGGATGTTTTGTGGAATATAGGGTAGAATATTCTGGGAGCTGGTTGAACTGAGAAAATTACTATGACCCAAGCACCATGGGTCCCTCTGGTAATTTAACAGTTTGCGAACTGGACAATCCACAATTTTTAGTAGGTAAATCAACTATAAATGGGTCATTTTCCAATATAGCAAACTCTTAAATTACCAGAGGCTACTGTATGGGATTTTAGATATGTACATATGTTGACCTGGGATGCTATGGGTTTAGCATCATTTACCTCAGGCACCTGCTATTCACCCATGACATCATAAATCCAAGAATCAACCACATCCAGAGGGGGTGTTATATCTATATTCCTTCAAATCTCGAACAACATGGCTTTTTATGTTCAATTGTCAACCCTACATGTACCGGTCAATTCCTTTGATCTAAATGGCTTCCGGGTGCGTATGGTTTTAATGAGCCCCGTTCTTTTGCATTGAATGCGGCAAGATTCTCAAACCAAATGATTGCTAGAATGCTGGTCGCCCAGTCGATTGGCGTCGAGTGAATTTTGCACGGTGCCTCTTTTTGCGCCTCTGATTTTGGATGATTTTGGAGAAAATTACTCCAATGGATCATCGCATCATCACATTTCGCCAGTGGGCTCGTTGTTTGCTGTGTGCCATCTCTATACCTGAGGTGAATAATCGTTTCGCCCCAAGAATGCACACCTCAAAGGGCGACTCCAGAATTAATCCACCATCCAACGGGGTTTTCTTGCAGTTCCTGGGATGAGATGACTTCACCATCAAGACCGGCTGGCAGAAAAAGGCTCAAAAGATGACACAAAAAGCAGCTGCGCCGGCCACACCATGGGCGCGTGTGGGAACAAGGCAGCGCTAACCAACAGTCGTGAAGTACGACTAGGTGACCTGAAGAACAGCTATCAGCAGCTCAGCAAAATTGGGGCCACAAGTTGAGGTCCTTGGATGTAAATATTGGGCGTGATCCCGGAAAATCAAACTCCTAAACAGTTGCCATTGCCCAAGAATGAGAGCACAACCAAGCCCCACAAAATGTTTTCTTCATGGACTGTGATAACCCCCCATCCAGAATCGTGGAAATGGTGGCAGCCAAGGAGCCATGATCTTCATATCATAGGGATTCAAATCCATCAAAGTTGACACCCCCCAGTAGTATCATCAGATTACCCCTTCTTGGTGGTGGTGTTTTTTTACCGAGGTACACGCCGCTGAATGATGGCGCCTCTGCGCATTGAACTTGGCGGCCTAAAAAAACAGGGTGTTCTGTGCAAACCCGCGGCCCTGATGAAAAGGGAAAACAATGGAACCCCTAGGGGTTGACATAGTATACTATAAGTATCTATAGTCTATCATATACATAAATCCTGCGCATATATTAGTATAGATATATGCACATATATATACACACATATATATATATATCATACATATACATGAAAAAGCAATCAGGGGTGGTTTTCACTGGATATATCTATAGCTGGATAGGTTTACATACCAACGTTAGGCGCCAAAGCCAGCAAGGCTCCACACCCTTGGGAACGGCCAATGAGAAGCTGGACATCGTCCAATTTGCCTCAGCCATTTTCGTGGCCGAAGAGGGGCAGGACTTGATCGATCTTGGTCGGGGCCGAAAATGGCTGATTGGCCTATTGATTTCATACATGGTATGATATGAATCGATGTGTAGTATATGAGTTTTTTCCCCACCTGCCAGGTGAGGGTTGTTAGATTTTATTCGAGTTGTTCTCCTCCTTCTCCTTCTCCTTCTCCTCCTTCTTCTCCTCCTCCTCCTTCTCCTCCACCACCTCTGCCTTCACTTCCATGTCCACTTCCGCCTTGCCAACTCTTCGCCAAGCTCTTCGCCAACTTCCGCACGCAGTTGGCACTGCTGGACCTCAACTGCAAGGGTCTGAGCGCACTGGGCACCGCTGGACCTCAACCTGGGACCTGCCGAGTTGAGTGAGGAGCGCTGGACCTCAACCTGGGACCTTCCGAGCTCAGTGAGCACCGCTGGACCTCAACCTGGGACCCGCCGAGCTCAGTGAGCACCGCTGGACCTCAACCTGGGACCCGCCGCGCTCAGTGAGCACCGCTAGACCTCAACCTAGGACCTTCCGAGCTCAGTGAGCACCGCTGGACCTCAACGGCCAGATAGAATGCCAGAAGATATGCCAGATAGAACGCCAGATAGCATGTCAGATAGAATGCCAGAAGATATGCCAGATAAAATGCCAGAAGATATGTCAGATAGAATGCCAGAAGATATGCCAGATAGAATGCCAGATGGTATGCCAGATAAAGTGCCAGAATGTTTGCCAGATAGAATGCCAGAATGCCAGATAGGATGTCAGAAGATATGCCAGAAGATATGCCAGATAGAATGCCAGATAGAATGCCGGAAGATATGCCAGAACATATGCCAGAAAATATGCCAGATAGAATGCCAGAAGGTATGCCAGATAGAATGTCAGATAGAATGCCAGAAGGTATGCCAGATAAAGTGCCAGAATTTTTGCCAGATAGAATGCCAGAAGATTTGCCAGATAGAATGCCAGGTAGGATGTCAGAAGATATGCCAGATAGAATGCCAGATAATATGCCAGAACATATGCCAGAAGATATGCCAGGTAGAATGCCAGAAGATATGCCAGATAGAATGCCAGATCGAATGCCAGAAGATATGTCAGATAGAATGCCAGAAGATTTGCCAGTAACAAATCGATAAATGTCATGGTGGGGATCACACGATGTAAAGTATTTTTCTGTGATTTAATGGCTTTGAATCAGAGTTGGGATGCGTATGTGGAAAGAAACAAAGGTGGATTGGATGGCATTTGAGCGTTTTAGGAGGGCTCAAGGCATACAGCACTCCCCAAAAATCAATTTCTCGTGGATATGTCGGAACGGAACCTTTCTAAAAAGTGTTTCCAAGTGACCAGCCCAATTCAGTTTTTTGCTGAGCAGCTTGGGGCTGAAAGCTTGGCACCTGGACATATTTGCAGAGGACTTCAGCATCAGCGTCATGCGACTGGGGCACTTGGAGGATGAAGTAAGATGTCACTTTCGCACGGAAGCTGCTGAGCTGATGGGGGGATGACCTGGGGTGTGCAACAGCTTTGGGTAGGATGTGCACCTCTTTCTCCACAAATTTGGTCCGAGTTTGGTATATATATATATATACATATATATATATATACACGTTTTTGTTTCAAGATCATGAATCATTATCCTCAGTAATTACTGCACTAATGAACGGAGTGGGTGGGTGTGTGTGTATATACATTGATGAGGTAATTCTACTGATGTTTTTCTAGGTGAACATATGCATTGTATTTCCTCATGATAGTAATCTGTAGAACCCGTGGCCTTTGCAAAACCAAGGATGGTTCCGGTAAGGCGGGTTCCCGCTACGAGCATGCAGAAGGCTGGAATAAGCTTGGTTTGATCGTTTAAATTCTATTTGATTGTTTTTTCGTTCCATGAGTTTCCTTTTAGGGACCTAAGGACAATCCGAATCCTCACCAGAGGAAGATTAGTAAGCTATAAGATTAGTTGCCATTAACATGCTATATGTGTGGTATTGTTTGGTGTTTGGCAAGATCTCCGTGTGGTATCCATCCAGGGGAGCTGGTCTTCGAAAAGGGTGTCTTCGAGAAAACGATCCCCATATCCATCGTGGAGTCGCCGCTCTGGAGCGCCACCCTGGAGTTCAAGGTCATCTTGGAGAATCCCGTGCAGTGCTGCTGGGGCTGATGAGCAGTGTTTTTTTGCCGGAGAAATGGTCAAAAATAATGCGCATATAAATGATGACCATGCAGTTTGGGATAGAACAGTTAACATGACCTATTTAATTATATCATGATTACATACATACATGCATACATACATGCATGCATACATACATACATACATACATGCATTTGTACATCCATACACCCATACATCCATACATCCATACATCCGTACATCCATACATCCATGAATGCATGCATGCATACATACATACATACATACATTCATATTTATATACTGTATATATAAAACCTGATTGAACTATAGATGCACAGATATATTTGTTTAGGCTTTTGGATCAACGATGGATCAAAGCACCCGGCCCCGTTAAACAGCCAACCAGGTCAGCTGGGAAAGTATCTGAAGAGTTGCAGGGTGAAGGTCATCGATCAGGATGAATTCCCGAGTGGTTTGTATGCCAAGGAGACTGCAGAGGATGTTCCCATGGGACTCTTCATTGAGTATGTGAAGTTGGCACCTTGGGTGAAGTTGCTAAGCCATGGTAAGGCTTGAAACTGTGATCGTTTAACCACCGGTATCCCATAGACTTTGGGAGCTTGGGAGATGGGGATTCGGAATATTCTCCTCCCAGGCACTTGAGCAGCCTGGAAACACCTGGAGGTTCCTGGTCACGGTGATTTTCGACCAGGTGAAGAATGGTTACATTTGGTTTACCCTGAAGGTATCTGTTTACTTGGTCAACGTGGTCTTCGGCCACAGAGCAGACGCTGAAGAAGAGCTGCTGGTCCCGGATGATCCGGAAAAGACTGCACAAGTCATTGGCCTCATGTGTCTTGGATTTTTTTTTGGTGTGTGTGTGTTTAGCCCCAGGTTGTGTATTGATTGGTGTTTCAAACAGGAACCTAGGGAACCTGGCCTGAATTGACTCGATGTACAGAATGAAACTTCTGATTGAGAAATGTCCTAGATCAAAGGTGCCCAAACCCCAAAATAAGGTCGATTTCGGTTGATTCTTTGGTTGCATGTCAGAGCGCATAAATGGATGATTCATGCTCCAGGTGTTTTGGT